CTGGTACTTTGAGCTGACAGGAATGTGTTAAAATCACTGTTTTATGAGAAGCAGGATACCTCAGTTCTCTGACCTCCCTAGTTGATCATTGGTTGGTTACTAATACAGGGATGACTTCTGTTACTCTAATATGTTAAGAAACACATGATTAAAAATGGGCCAGTTTACACCAAAAGAATTGGAGAACTTGGAAGAAATGGAGAGATGCTAGATACATATAAACTACCAAAACTGAACCAAGAAAAATTAAAAACCTTGATAATCCAGTAACAGGTAATGAACTTGAAGCAGTAATAGAAAACCTACAGTTAAGAAAAGCCCAGAGGGCTGGGGGTTTACTTCAGTGCCTCAAGCGCCTGCCTGGTAAGCACAAGGTCATGAGTTCAATCGCTGGTCCCAAAAAAAAGAGCCCAGGACAAGATGGATTTACTGTTCAATGCTACAAGAACTTTAAGGAAAATCTTAACAACAATATTCTCTTTCTAATGAAATTGAGAAGGAAAGAGTATTCCCCTCAAAATCTTTCTTGGAGGCTAACGTTACTCTGATCTTAAAACCAGATGAGGATCCAACCAAAATAGAGAACTATAGGCCAGTGTCCCTTATGAACAGAGATGCATAATCCTCAACAAGATGTTGTCACACAGAATGCAAGAGATGATTAAAAAGATCAGATACCATGAGCAGCTAGTCTTCATTTCAGGTATACAAGAATTGTAGAGGTCTTCTTTCACTTACTTGGTTAGGTTACTTTCTAAAAACTTAATTTCATCATTAACTTTTATTTTTTCCAATACCCAGGGATCGAACTCAAGACCTTGTGCTTGCCAGGCAGGTGCTTATGCCACTGAGCTAAATCCCCATCCCCTTAATTTCAACATATCCAGATCAGTAAATGAATTCATCATAGAAACAAAACAAGGAAAATGTCATGTCAGTAGACTTACAAAATAAAAGCCTTTGACAAAGTCCAGCATCTATTCATGATACAAGCCCTGAAGAAAATAAATAGATGGACCTTTATCTTATTCTGATAAAAGCCATTTATGACCTGCGGACTGCCAGCATCCTATTAAGTAGGGAAAACGCAGAAGCTTTCCTTCCAAAAATCAGGAGCAAGGCAAGGATGTCCACTATCACCACTCTGTTCATTATTGTTCTTGGAAGATTAGCTAGAACAGTCAGGCAAGAGAAAGAAAGAAAGGACAAAGTTAAAGTATTACTAGCAGATGATACAATCTTTTACTAAAAGATCTCCCAAATTCCAAGAGAGCGCTAGAGTTAATAACCAAATTCAGCAGTGTAGCAGAGCATAAAATGCACAGAAATCAAGAGTTCCTATGCAGTAATAAAGTCACCAAAAAAGAAATTAGGAAAACAATACCATTCATAGTAGCATCAAGAAAAATTAAATACTTAGGAAATAACCTAACAAAGGAAGTGAAAGAAAACTTCTATAATGAAAATTTTATACCACTTTGAGAAAGGAAATGAAAGTGAACATGAGAAAATGGAAAGATATCCTCTTTTTCTGGATAGTCAGAACCAGTGTAATCAAAATGGCTATATTTCCAAAATTGATAGATTTAATACAATCCCAATCAAAATACCAAAGATATTTCTCACAGATCTAGAGAAAACTATCCTAAAATTCATATGGAACCAAAAGAGATTGAGAATAGAAAAAGCAGTCCTGTTGTGTAAGAAAAGAAAAACATGAGGCATCACAATCTCAGATTTGAAGTTATACTACAAAGCTACTATGATTAAAAAGCACAGCATAGGCACAAAAACAAGTATCTGAATCAGTGGAATCAAAAAGAACAATGATGGTGAACCTTTTAGAGTACAGCCTGCAATCTACTTATTTGTGGTCAAGAGCCAACACTGCAGTTAAACATGAAGTTTCAGTTTAGAAAAAGCAAGTTATACATTAGTATCTTTTTTATCTTAAAAATAACATATGTCCCATAAGTTCGTCACCACTATTTCAGTGGAAGCAGAAACAACCTCATGCATGTTCAGTGATTTGATCATTAAATACAGGCAAAAAATATACACTGAGGAAATAATAGCCTATGTAATGGCACTCGGAAAATTGTTTATCTACATGCAGAAGATTGACTCTAGACCCATATATCTCCCCGGGTACTAAACTAAAATCAAAATACATCAGAGAACTGAATGTTCAAAACAGAAGCACTTAACTTGCTGGAAGATAAAAGAGGTAAAGCTCTTGAAGATGTAAGCATAGGCAAGGACTTTCTGAAAAGAACCCCAGTGGTACAAAAATCACTTGTATATACAATGTTAGCTGAAGCAGTCACTAAGGGACCTTTGAACTCAAAAGGGATTAGAACTGCAAAATCTGTGTGTGTGTACTTTCCATCCTATCATTTTTTTCTCATAATGTACATTAAAATGACAGTTTAGCTCATGGATTTAAGTTTAGTGTGCTTTTAGCTGGTGCTGTGTCATAAGGTGTTTTGTCTAAAAATTTAATGTCAAGACAAAGCATATTTTATTTGTATATGCACTTTTTTTTGGTTGCTGTAAGTTCCTAAGAGACCAGTTCTGATAAGAGTGAAACGTTTTGTTTTTCCATAAAACCAGGTAAGTTATAGTCTAGTTGGAAAATATGGTAGCAAGGACATGATAGGTAAAGCCAGAAATGCACCAGAGAAATAAGTGCATAACAAAGACAAGTTTATTATTATTATTAAGCACTTTAAAGCTTAAAAATTGTATGTGCATGTTTCATGTGCTAATTGTGGAAGCAATTCTAATTTCAGACGGTAAGATGCATGACTCTTTAACATTAATTGCAGTTATCCAGATAGAGCCTGAAATACTGTCATTTATTTATCCTGGTGAATTTACAGAGGTGGGTTTGCCCAGGATAACAGGTGTAGATACTAGCTAATTTGGCATACTTGTCCTCCTTCTGGAGAGATGTATGTTAATCAAGATTGTCAGATGAAATAGGCAACACAGTTCTTGGGCAGGCTGATTTTTGTGTACCCTTTAGCTACCTCTGTCCTTTTGGTGCTTGTCTTGTTTTCTTTATACCTGCCCTTTAAATCCTGGCTTCCATTACTTTTGGAAAGTACCGTTACTTTTACTTTAAACACTTACAGTTGTCTTTATTTATTTATTTTCTTTTTTGGTACTGGGGATTGAACTCATGACCTCGAACTTACCAGGCAAGCCACTGAACTAAATCCTCGGGCCATACAGTTGTCTTTTTTATGGAAGTCCCAAGACATAAGTAAAAAATAGCATATTATCTTTCATTTACCATTTACTTAGTGTTTGTATTTTTCATAAAAGTACCATCACCAGGCATGGTGGCATATGCTTTTAATTTCAGCACTTGGGAGGCTGAGGCAGGAAGGTCACCACAAATAAGTCTGAGGTCAGCATGGGGTACATAGTTCAAAACAGCCTGAACTACATCGGGAGACCCTGTTTCAAAAAAAAAAAACCGAAAAGAAAAAGTAGAATCTCGTGTTAAATTTAAAGTCCTTCTACCATTCTTGTAGTACATGTCTGCTGTCAACAAATTATCTGGTTTTGTTACTGCATTGTTCGAAAGATACTGAATTTTTAGTAGTTTTTTTTTTCCTCTCATCTCTCTTTCATTTTCCTTCCCTTTTTTTCTTTCTTACAGTATTGGGGTTTAAACCCAGGGCCTTCATATGAACTACATTCCCACCCTTTATTATTATTACTATTATTAATAATTTTTATTTTTAGAGACATGGTCTTTCTAAGTCAGTTCAGACTAACTTTGAACTCACTGTGTAACTCGTGCTGGCCTCTAACTCATGCCCTCAGACTCCTGTCTGAGCCTCCTAAGTGCTGGGATTATAGGCACACGCTACCACTATAAAGATGTCATGGACCCAACATTCCTTCCTCGTGACAGGAAGGCTATTTTTTTTTGTTTGTATTGTTTCCTTTTTCTTTGACTGCTTTTAAGATTTTATGATTGTTGCCTTTTGTTTTCCTTTTTTTTTGATGCAGGATCTCACTATGTAGTTCAGACTGACCTTTCATTTCCACTGTGTTGCCTTGGCTGCCCTTAAACTTGCAGCAGTCTTTCTACTTTAGCCTTCCAAGTGTTGGGATTACAGGAGTGCGCCACTGTGCCTGGCTGACTGTTCAGTTTTAAGAGTTTGATTTTGATGCAACTGGTGGTTTTCTTTGTATTATTTTCCTTGGGATCTGATCATTCTCTCCACTCAACCAGAATTACTTCTGCTAGTGTGTTGGAATTTTGGGGTTAGCTCCGTTTTCACTTGTTTCCCTTTAGGGACTCCATTTGTACTTGGTTTCTGGCAATTATGCCATTAACTAAGGTTGAAAACGGTATGTTGGCATCTAATCTCAAATTCAGGTTATTTAACAGGTAAGACGTCATTAGTGACTTTAGCCAAAAATAGTAGAAGACGAAATACATATGAGAAACAAAAGATGGAGAAGTAAGTGGGAATTTGATGAAGTAGAGACATATTGTTATATGTCTTTGTACTCCTCATAATTGTTTGTAACCTAAAATTGTTTTTTTAGACTTTCATCATAAACAGCATCGCTTTTCTTTGTTCCATTTAAAAGTACTATGAGAATGTGAATCACTTGATGGTATGATTTCCAGGGCTTTAATTGCTGCAATAAACTATCTGTGCTTTTTACCCAGGGAGTTTTCATTAGGTGATACTGTAAAGAATGAAATACAGTCTTGAATTTTGTTACATTTTTACTATATTATAATTAGTGTTTAAGAATAAAGGTTGATTAAATGTTTAAAATTCAAGAAACCGATTTGATTCGACTTAACCTATAATTCCAAGATGAATGCAGTTTAGTACTTTTTAGTTTTAGAGTACTTTAACCACAAACATTTTGAAATTTGGTAGATACTTACCAGAATACCTGGTTATTGCAGGTGTTAAATGCTTGGATTTATTACTAAAATACTCTTTCTTTTTCCACTCCAGTTCAAAGCAGTATTCAGCGATTTCAAGAGAAGTTTTTTATTTTTGCTTTGACACCTCAACAAGTTAGAGAGATATGCATATCAAGGTAAGAGGAATGTTTGAAATGTTTCTGTATGAATGTTGTATATGAGTAGAAAACTAGGGACAGGTTGGCTTAAATAGCAGCAACTTAATTTCTCAATTCTGAAGGCTTCTGTTCAAGATTAAGGGAAGCAGATTTGTTTCCTCCTGAGGCTGTTGCGTTTGGCTTGTACATTTTGCTGTATTCTCACACAGCCTTACCTTTATACCAATGCATCCGTGGTGTCTTTTTTTCCTCTTATGACACCAGGTATGTGGGATTAGGGACCTACTCTAAATCTTATTTAACCTTAATTGCGTTTTTAAAGGTACTATATACAAGTACAGTCAAATTGGGGGTTAAGGTTTCTACGTGATGCATCTTGTTCAGTCCATAACAGTTGCACTGTTTCTCAAGTAAGAGGAGGATACTTTGACTGTATATTTAGTACTGTGAAGTAGAAAAATTTAACCTTTGGATAAAACCTCAAAATATCTTTTTAAATTATTTAATCACACTTGGATCGATTGATCAATCTATCAGTCAGTTGTTCAGTCCAGGTTCTTGAGTGTTTCCTGTATGTTAGGCAAATGCTTTGCCACTAAGTTACATCCTCAGCACAGTAATAACATTTTTTTTTTTTGTTTGTTTGCTTGTTTTTTTGTCTTTTTTGAGACAGGTCTTGCTATGCAGTTCAGGCTAGCCTTGAGCTCGCTTTAGCTCAGGCTGGTCTTGAACTCGGAACGATCCTCCTGTGTCAGCCTCTCGAGTGCTGGGATTACAGGTGTGAGACACCACGCCTGGCTAGCAATAACATTTTAAGTGAAAAGTTTATTCTAAATACAGCAACATAAAAACGAATTTACAGTAACAGCACAAAGATAAATGGGCATAAACTTTATTGTTCCCATTTTAGGCATTTTTGAGAGTGTCATTAAACATTATTAATAATTATTCTTGGTGGAAAAAAACCAGAACAGTTTGAGCTAAATTTGAGCTAAAGTACAGTTACCTAACCAAAATTTACTGGAAATCTGATTATGAAAAATAATGTTAACTGTGTCAATTTCAGAGAAATTTTAATTTGGTACGTTTGTAAAGAGCAGGGAACTAAGAGATGGAAAAGGAAATTGTAGCATATACTTTTTCAAATAAAAATAGCCCTTTTTGGTATTAGCAATGCATCATTTATATAGCTCTTTAAAATTGTCTTAGAGTCGTTGTAGGAAAAATGAGATTCTTACAGGTTAAATACTTTTCTGGAACTGTAGAATTAAAAGAAATTAGTTTCAACTGTACATTAGAATAGTTCTTTGAGACATTGAGCTTTTTTTTTTAAAATAAAGGTTGAGTTAGAGAAATACCTTTTTTTTTTTTTTTTTTGGTACTGGGGATCAACCTCACAACCTTGTGCTTGCCAAGCAGGTCTTATAATTAACTTAATTGTATAAGTCCTCTGTAGCCAGACTATCAGTTTTGAGTATGTAGGTTTGCACTGTCAATGTCCTAAGTTAGTGGATTCAGACTTAGAGACCACACAAGTGTTTTGAAAACCTAACATCTGAATATGCACTGTTGTTGTATGAAAGATTCTGAGATATAGCTTTAATTCTATGGCTAATTACACCCCCCCTTTTTTATTTTAAAGATGAAAAAAAATTTCAAGAGACAGTAATTAGAGGGTAACAGTGGTTACTACATTGCGTATTGTTATTGTTCAACTAGTTACTTAGAGTACAAGATATCTGCATTTCATTGTCCAAATAATACTAGTACAAACTTTTCTTTTCAGTGAACTAAGAGAAATGAATAGTATAACTATCTTAATAATCTTCTTATACATAATTTCAGTTTCTCACACTAGGAAGACAATGAGATGTTTACACATGTGAGTCTGATTTATGGTCTCTAGTTGCATCCATTTTCCTATAAAAGTCTGTAGTTTATCTTTCTTTATGGCTGAGTAGTACTCTTTTGTATAAAAATAATCTTTTGTATCCATTCCTCAATTGATGGTCATTTAAGTTGTTTCCAAGATCTAGCTATTACAAACTGTGCTGATAGGGGCTGGGGATTTAGCTCAGCGGCATAAACACCTGCCTTACAAGCAGGTGGTCGTGAGTTCGATCCCCAGTACCAATTAAAAAAAAAAAAAAAACAAAACAAAACTGTGCTGATACAAACATGGGTGCATATATATCACTATGATATGATGTTTTTAATTATCCTGGGGAGATACCCAGAGGGGAAATAGCTGAGTCAAATGGGACCTCCAATCCTAGTTTTTTGAACAATCGCCCCACTGATTTCAGGAATGGTTGCATCAGTCTGTACTCACACCAACAGTGGAGAAGGGTTTCTTTTTCCCCACATCCCCTCTAGCATTTATTTCTTGACAACTGCCTTTCTTTCAGGGTGAGGTAGAATCTCAGTATTGTTTTAATTAGCATCTCTTAAATGACCAATGATACTGAATATTTTTTCACATATTTATTTGTTATTTGTATTTCTTCATCTGAGATGTATATATTTATCTCAGATGCCCATTTGTGGATTGGGACTTTAAATTTGAGAGAACTGATTTTTTTTCAGTTCTTTATATGTTACAATAGTAATCCTTTGTCTCAGGTACAGTTGGCAAACATTTTCTCCCACTTTGTGGGTTGTCTATTACTCTGGTTGGTGGTTTTTTTTTTTTTTTTTTTTTTTTGCTGTGCAAAATCTTTTTAATAAGATGAGATCCCACTTGTTAATTCTACATATATTTCCTGTGTGATGGGGTTTTATTCATAAAATCTTCTACAGCGGTGTCTTCAAGAGTTTTACCTATTCTATCTTCCATCGGATTTGTTTCTGTTTTAATGTTAAGATCTTTGATCCTTTCCAAATTTAGTTTAGTGCATGGTGAAAGCTAAGGGCCGAATTTCAATCCTTGGCATGTGCAGAACCAACTTTTTCAGCACCTTTTATTGAGAAGGCTGTCTTTCTTCCAGTGAACATGTTTGGTTGTCAAAAGTAAGGTGGCTTAGTGTGTCTGGAGTTGGAATTGTTCCTGTGTCTTCTAATGTGTTCTATTGATCTTAGATCTGGGTTTTGTGTTTTTTCCCCAATACCATTGTGTTTTTAATTAATCACAGTACCAAAAAAATTAATCACAATTTATTTATATAGTAGAATTTCAAGTCAGGGATTGTGATGCTCCCTGTTTTGCCTTTGTTGCCCAGAATTGCTGCCCAGAATTGCCTTTACTATTTTAGATCTCTTCTAGTTCCAGATGTATTTTAGGATTATTTTCTCTTAATTCTGTGAGATGCATTAAATCTCAGTAACGGTTTTGGAAGTCTGGCCGTTTTCACTATCCAATAGCAAGGGATAGCTTTCTATTTTCTGATACTTCTGCCTCTAGTTTTCAATGTAGAAGTGTTTACAGCCTTTGTTAGATTGATTCCTAGGTATTTCATTTTTTTGGATGGTATTTTGAAAGGTGTTACCCAATTTTTCTGAGTTTTTTATTCATGTACAAGAAAGTTACTGATTTTTAACTGTTGACTTTAAATATCTTGCTGTGCTATTGAATTTGCTTATTTAGCAATTTTTTAGTGGAGTTTTTGAAGTCTTCTGTGTAGAGTAACATGTAATCTGCCAATATCCATAATTTTAACTTCTTCTTTTCCTATTTTTATTCTTTTTATTTCTTGTCTAATTGCTGTGGCTTACATTTCCAGGATTATGTTAAGAGTGAAGATAATGAATATCTTTGTCTTGTTCCTGATTTAGAGTCAAACTTCAGTTTTTGTCCATTTAGTGTGATACTGGCTGTTAGTTTGTCATAGATGGCGTTTACCAGATTGAGGTAAAGACCATTGGTTCCAATATTCTGTTAGGTTTTTATCATGAGTCAGTACCTGACTTTGTCAAAGCTTTTTCTACATCTTTTGAGATGGCTGTATGATTTTTGTCCTTGGCTCTGTTAATATGTTGTATTACATTTATTGATTTGTGTAGGTTGAACCATCCCTGCATCCCTAGAATAAATACCAGTTGGTCATGGTATGTAATCTTCTTGACAGTTTGCTGTATTCTCTTTGCCAATATTTTATTGAGGATTTTGGTATTTATGTTCATTAGGGAGATTGGCTTGTAATTCTCTTTCGTAGTTGGATCCTTCTCAGGTTTTGATATGAGGGTAATGTTTGTTTCCAGAAAATAGTTGAGAGTATTGCTTCTTGTTCAGTTTCATTAAAGAATTTGAGAAGTAGTGGTGTTAGGTCTTACCTAAATTTCTTCAAGAATTCAGCATTGAATCCATCAGAGCCTAGGCTTTTATTTGTTGGTAGATTTTTAACTTACTTGATTGATACTGGTTTATTTAGGACATTTTTATCTTTTTGATTCAGCTTTGGTAGTTCATATGTTGAAAAAATATATTCCATAGGAATCTGTCCATTCTGTATTTTCCTTCTTTTTTTTTTTTTTTTTGTCTTTTTCGTTTTTATCGGTACCAGGGATCGAACTCACGACTACCTGCTTGCAAGGCAGGCGCTTACGCCGCTGAGCTAAATCCCCAGCCCATGTATTTTCCTTCTTGTTAGAATACAAGTTTTCAAAGTAGATATAGATAATTTTCTGGATTTTTGCAAGGTTCATTGTGATTTCACTTTTTTATTCCTCATTGTGTGTATTTGAGTCTTTTCTTTCCTTTTTTTGATAAGGTTGACTAAGGGTTTGCCAGTATTATTTAATCTTCCAAAGGACCAATTCTTTTTTTGTCTTTTTTTGAGAAGGGGTCTCGCTATGCAGTTCAGGCTGGCCTTGAGCTCACTTTGTAGCCCAGGCTGGTCTTGAACTCGCAATGATTCTCCCACCTCAGCCTCCCGAGTGCTGGGATCAGAGGACCAATTCTTTAATTCATTGTTTCTTTGTAGTTTTTTGCTCTCTAGTGCATTAATTTCTTCTCTGATCTTTACAATTTCCTCCCTTATACGAGCTTTTGACTTAGCCTGCTTTTCTTTTTCTAGAAATTT